TTTGGTGTTTAGATCATGCCACTGTAGTCTCACTGATCAATTCTCTGCCATTTAGGAGTTAAATCACTTTATTTATTATTATTATTATTATTATTATTGCCATTTATATAGCGCCAACGGATTCCGTAGCGCTTTACAATATTTTGAGAGGGGGGGTGTAACAATAAATAGGACAATTACAAGAAAACTTACAGGAACAATAGGTTGAAGAGGACCCTGCTCAAATGAGCTTACAGACTATTGGAGGTGGGGTATTTAAAACATTAGGACAATAAATATCAAGTAGGAGTGAAGCAGAGCTGGAGGAGAGAGCAAAGCACTGTCCCATAGGAGAGAGCAGGAGACAGGTATGTAAGGTAGAGATTACTCTGGGAGGCCATAAGCTTTCCTGAAGAGATGGGTTTTAAGGCCCTTCTTAAATGATTGAAGACTAGGGGAGAGTCTGATGGCAGTAGGCAAGCTATTCCATAGGAGAGGAGCCGCCCGCGAGAGGTCCTGCAAGCGCGAGTTGGCCGTACGGGTGCGAGCAGCGGTCAGGAGGTGGTCACGGGCAGAGCGGAGGGTACGTGGAGGGGCATATTTATGGATCAGTGAAGAGATATAAGCGGGGCTAGAACTGTTCAGTGCTTTAAATGTATGGGTTAGCACTTTGAATTGACTCCTATAGCATACAGGGAGCCAATGTAAGGACCGGCAGAGGGGTGAGGTGTGAGAGGACCGACTAGAGAGGAAAATCAGTCTAGCTGCAGCATTCATTACAGACTGTAGCGGGGCAATACGGCTTTTGGGGAGACCAATCAGGAGAGGGTTACAGTAATCCATGCGGGAAATTACTAGAGTATGGACAAGCTCCTTGGTAGCATCTTGCGTAAGAAAGGGGCGAATGCGGGCTATGTTTTTGAGTTGGAACCTACAGGACTTGGCAACAAACTGGATGTGAGACTCGAAGGTGAGACCAGAGTCAAGTATGACGCCAAGACAGCGCGCTTGCAGGGATGGACTTATGTGGATATCACTGACTTGAAGGGAGAGCGAGAGAGGAGGATCAGTATTAGGAGGAGGAAAGACAAGGAGTTCAGTTTTATACAGTCCTAGTCACACCTCGCTGCATGTGACTTATTCAGCCTTCCTAAACACTTCCTGTAAAGAGTCATCAAATGTTTACACTTTCTTTATTGCACAGTCTGTTTAATTTAGAATTTCTTATCTCCTGCTCTGTTCATAGCTTGCTAGACCCTGCCGGAGGCTCCTGTATCTAATTTAAGTTCAATTTGCAGAGCAGAAGATAAAAACTTTTAAAATAAGTTACATCTGATGGAAAATAAAACCATTTTGTTTTAATGCAGTCTGTGTGAGTCACAGCCAGGGGAGGTGTGGTTAGGGTTGCATAAACAGAAACAAAAGTAATTTAACTCCTAAATGGCAGAGAATTGAGCAGTGAGATTGCAGGGCATGATCTACACACTAAAAAATGCTTCATTAAGCTAAAGTTGTTTTGGTGACTATAGTAACCAAAATTATTCTTTTAATTAAACGCCATATTATGAATATTGGTGCTACATGTTGACTGATGCTATTTTACTGAGATGCAATGTACTCTTGAGATGTTACATATTCCTGTTGGATTTATTTTACTCCCATTGTTAATATTCTATATGTAAACACTGCATACTAGAAATGTGTCATTTCTTGTGGTTACTTCATTTTTTTTACCTCTGTCATCATTGCCCTTGTGTACCTAAAATCCTAATAAAATAGCATTTCAGAAAAATGTAAAATCATTTTGAGAAAAAAAAAAAAGGGAAATTAGCAACAAAGGAGCTAGTTTTGTTCTGGGCAGTGACATAGTTAATAATGTAGTTTAAACAGATTCTCAGACAGATTGTAATTTGATTGTAATGATGAGAGCGATTTTGAAATAACATTTCAAGAGAGCTATAACTTTTCATTCTAATAACCAAGACTGGCTCTTTTTTTTCCTTGTCACAGATACATAAGGTCGAGTAAAGAAAAGTTGCAATGTTCTTTGGAATCTTGCAACAGCTCAAGAATACTGCAGGAGCCACTCCTTAACCTACTTGATTTATTGCAGGTGGGAAGTGGAAAAAAGTTAATAAAATGATGGTCACAATGGTCTGCTACAAACAGGGGGGTTGGAAGAACCCTCCTTCACCATGAAAGTTGATATAAAGGTTAAACATTTTTTAATTGTGCTAATGGGGATTTTTAAAAATAATTTTCCTTGGTTTTGGCATCTATATAGTGCCAACTGATTTCTTAGCGCTTTGTTATTGAGTTGATACTGAATTAATGTAGGAATCTTCCCAGGACCGGCAGTCTGGTTCATTCTATTCCCACTTCTTACACCCGAAAGAAGGTTCTAAGTGAACACCCATCCACTTTTTTCCATCTAATGTGCAGGTAATTAATATAATCGAGAATGGAAAATAGTAGAGTCATTCAGAATATGCTCATTTCAAGATAGCTCCCATGTCCACTTCTTGTGGAGGCCATACATAGAAACTAAATGTCAGTTTGATTTCGGAGTTCTCTCACCCAATCACATTGCTCAATCCATTTCAAATCTGAATCTTCACTGACCATCAGCTATGACATAGGGGTCTATAACATCCCAGTTAAAGTTGAATTTGCATTTTTCACATTGGTAATAAATGGGACTCTCACTGGTTGAGGCTGGATAAAAGTGAGCTTATGGATTCTAGGGCTCACACAACAATTGTATTAACGTCCTATCCCACGACATAATAAATGCAGGGGAAGGACGGACAACTTAAAATCTATGCTGTAAGTCAAGTGCTGGATGAGAGATGTTCAGCATTTTGCAGTTCATCTGTCAGTAGATTACTGTTTTGGATACTTACCTCCTTAATAGTGGGTTTTAATCGCTAAAGACCAAAGCTGAACACATTTTTTATTCCTTACAAAATTTGCTAAGGAAGAATAGGCAAGGTTGGATAAAATCACATCAACCATTTTCTAATAGGAAAATGAAAATTAATCACTATCTTATAATAATAATAATAATAATAATAATAATACTTTTTATTTACTATCCTCATCATTTGGAAATTACACACAAGCTATAGAAACTATTGAGCCATAAGGGGACATAGTGAAATTCCTTTGTTTTGCAGGCGGATTTATTCATATCACACACCAAGAAATTATAATATTCTATAAAATAATTTTAACAAGAGAAACCTTCACAGACAGAATAGCAATATCTTCTTTCATTGAGCATTACGCAACACTATTAAAAACATTTCCTCCCATAAAATAACACAGCTGCAATATTTTATTATTTATATTGAGCCAACTTAACCTGTACAAAAACAAATCCTGCCTAAGCTCTACAGTAAGAAAACAGATGCTAATGCCGGTCATTGATTATGGGGATGTAGTGTATGCACCCGCACCGCAAACCCACCTCAATAAACTGAATACGTTATATAATTTATTCTGCCGTTTTGTACTAGAATGTAATTACTTTGCCCACCACTGTGACATGTTAAAAGAGCTAAACTGGCTGTCGCTGGAGTCCTCCTGACACACTCTTCATCTTTCCAGCCTTGTGCATAAGAGCATTTCTGCCTGAGTAGAATGCTCTCCCTGGCTGTTCCCACCTCCTATAACCTATGATCCGGTACTAGCACGTTATTTAGCATACCGCAATACAAAAATTAAGTGGCTCGATCCTCCTTTTCCTACAGAGCACCGCAATTATGGAATAACCTCAGGGACACAGTCAAATGTTCATTCAATCTAAAATCTTTTACAAGATATGTAATTAAGTGTGTGTGTATGTGTATGTATATATAGTATTTTTTGTAATATTGTACCCTATTGTAAAAATGCAATGTTTTGTGGACATACTTGAAAATGAGAGAAATCTCAATGTATCCATCCTGGTAAAATATTTTCTAAATAAATTTAACAATGCAATTTCTCTAATATCAGATTTTAATGCTCCTCTGCCTATTAACAGACAGTAACCTTTGTGGAACTTATCAGCGTTTAGCAATTTGGCAGTTTTGTGCTATGCAATTTTTATGACACAGAATTTTTTATTCTAAAGTAATTGTGTCTACAATTGACCTAAACGGAGTCAAATAATTCAGGTGATCCTGACTTATCTCAAAAAAAGAGAAACAAGTAATAAGAATGGCAAAAGAGGCACATATCTACCAGAAATGGATGTGTATGTGTGAATTTCCTCTGTATTTGAAAGTAATGACCTTTAAATACTGCTCAGTAAATCAAACATTGGTTTTGGTCTTACATTGTGTTTTCTGTCAAGGTTTGTGTTATTTGGTTTGTCACACCAAATTATGAGTTGTTTAAATAACAGGTAGTCAGAACCGGGTTATTCACTCGAGTGAATTTCAAATTTAAGGTCAAAGTAGCTGAACTGGAAAAATGCTCAATTCTCTAAGTCTGCTACGCGTTTCAATTTGACTACTTTGGCCTTCAATTTGAAATTCACTTTGAATTCTAACTTTTTGGCTTTGAATTCTAACTTTTTAGTGAATAACATTGTTTGTGTGAAGAATTTTGGGAGCATTTGGAAGCAAAAATTCAGACACTGCACAAGATTATGAATTTTGCAATCCAACTAGAGAAAAGACAAATGTATATATAAAAAAAAAACATTTACAATGCGATGGGTTAGGGGCTTCATGGACTTAGAGCTAAAAATTAACGTGGGCCTCGTTACAAAATATTAATTTGCCGCTTATGGTCTCTTGCGCGGTGATTCTGAGTCTGCGGCCATCATAAGGGAAACCCCTAGGGTCTGAAATGACCTTAGTGAGGTCACTCTGCATGACCTTATGCCCAGTATTCGGTGCTGAGCTTTGCGAGCTGCCTAGCAGAGATTACAGTTTCAGGAGCTGCAGAATGAAAGGTAGATCTCCCTCTCATGCAGCAATCACACGGTACAGAGTGCCCACAGAGTGCCCTTTACTGTGTCCTCTGGGAAATCCATTTGTTGATGTCCATAGAGAGGTCAACAGAAGGAATCCCTCTAAAGTAGAATTAGGGGCTGGATCACGGGTAGACTTAGGGGTTAGATTATGGGGTTTCATTGTACTTGAACATTAGCAGAATACAAATATGCAGTTTAATATTTTGAATAGGGTTAGTGATAAAATGGTTAAATTAGATGTGTCAAATGCTCCTAGTTAAACAGCGTGGAGGCTATTCTTAATTTTGCGTAGCGGTTTTGGATTCTGTCATTACTATAAAACGTGTAACCTTAGAATGACAAATTTTGTAATGTTTTAGCTTTAAATCCTTAAATCACTTGTTATAACATACAAAATGAATTGAAATCCTAGACAACTATTGGGCATTTGCACTTCATGTGTTGAAATTAGATGTAAAACAGATATCAAATGTTTAATTTTTTTTTCATATTTAATATTGTTATGTATACATGTAGAGGGTATCAATAAACAGCCCTACTTTCTCTTTTAAAATGGTAGATAACATATATAGGTGCATTTAATTTTGATACAATGAATGCATGACAAAAGTGCCAAAAAGCCTTGCTCACGATCGGGTTAAAATATACAGCGTTAAGGCTACATTAAATTAGATATACATAACAGTTTGACATTACAAAACAAATTAACCAAGCAACTATGGATTAGGACAAAATGTGGGAAATGGTTTAAGTTTATAGAAACAAACTTAATTTGGGTCATTCAATAGCCTCAATTTTTTCATTTGTTTCTGTAGACTATGGTTTAAAATGTATAGTTTTTATACATCAGTTTAACATTGTATTTGTCTATTTGTCCATTCTGGTGACCTTGGATAAGCAGGTGCAGTTTTATTGTAAGAAAAGCAGACAGCAAGCCGTTTAAATGAACACGGCTGCACTGAGATTGTCCTTTTTAATAACATGTGCCGCTGATAACTTTATGAGCCTTTCTTGTATTTTAGAATTGCTGGCTGGAGATCAAGACAGTTTCTTGGATGCCTTTCAGAGGAGAGAAAAGTGCAGCTAATCAACTATAAGTCCCTGACCCTAGGAGACTATGTTTCTGTGGCAATAAGAAGATAGTGAACCTCCCAGCGATTCTGCAAGAAATTCGCAATCCAACATGTCAGGCAGAGGAACAAAAAAACAAGTGATAGAAGTTGTCACAAAGGTTTTTATTAAAACAGACTTTTACCATGGGTCGCCACTGGAAAGCTATGCACGAACTGCTGTCATGTGCTGGTTACTATAATGGGCATCTGAAATATCTACCTGCTCATGTTCACCAAATACTTGCATTGTAATTACAAAGGGCTACTTAGGGGCCATGCATTGCTGGCAGAGTTCATCCAACCCAGCTGCCAGAAACACACGTCTGCCGTGTTATGTTACATACAGTGAGAATGTGTTAATACTTAATGTAGCTGGTGTTTGCATGGTTTCATATACTAGTATTTCCTTGTGTATACTATGCTGCTTGAACACAAATGTAATGAGTGGTTGAATATACTGTAGGGGGGTGTGTATATATATATATATATATATATATATATATAAACGCATGAATATAGTATATGAACAAACATTCTTTTCAAAGCTTGCATGACAAAATGTGATTGTATCAATAAAGAGATGTAGCTTGTGGTTGAATAAATATTAAATTTAGGTTACAATATGTATCGTGTATGGATGTACGACTATATTGTCTCTTATAACACTACTCCATTTACATTAATATTTACAAAGTCCACACATTTTCTGCAGCACTGAACAATGGATGAATAATTTAATGAATGAAGTTACAAGATTTCTAAAAAACAATATAATATAATAATACACAGGGAAGCTTGCGAGCTTACAATCCTAAAACGATAATGGGAAGTGATACGAAAGGGTACAGGAAATAATAAAAATCTAATGTTGAAGATAGACATCAATCACAAACTGCCATTGAGATCTCATGAAATAACTGTTATATGTTATGTGTGTATACACACTGATCAGACACAGCATTAAAACCACAACAGATAAACATTGATTATATTATTACAATGGCACCTGTCAACAGGTGGGATATATTAGGCAGCAAGTGAACAGTCAGTTCTTGAATTTCATGTTGGAAGCAGAAAAAAATGGGAAAGCAAAAAATTTGGAGTGACTGTGACAAAGGTCAACTAGTGATGGCTAAACGACTGGGTCAGATAATCTCCAAAATGGCAAGACTTGTGGGGTGTTCCCGTTTTGCAGTGGTTAGTAGCTACCAAAATTAGTGCAAGGGAGGACAACCGGTGAACTAGTGTCAGGGTCATGGGATCCTAAGGCTCATTGAAGCGCATGGGGAGTGAAGGCCAGCCCATCTGGTCCGATCACACAGAAAAGCTACGGGGAAAGTGGAGCTTAGATGTTGAAGAGGATGGTCGCATGGCTGTGGAGCTCCAGACCAATAATACGACAATCGACCACCTGAAGCGCTCGGACACGAGCTATCTAAGACTCACCCGGGCCCCATGGGTCGGAAATCTAAAAAACAAAAACCGGTTAAGCCCCAGCTGGGCATGAACATCATGGGAGCTCTGGTGGCAGGCCCACGATGCATCTGGTGCCAAGATGGCATCCCTCCACGGAGGGTGCTCAGATTTTTCTGATGGTACATCCGACGAAGCAGAAGGGAACTTATCATCAGCCCCAACGTTGCCACTGCCAGCCTGGGGACAAACCCAGCCTCCCACGACAACTCCCACACCGGTGAATATGGAGGCTAGTTTATGGCAGATCACCACTAAAATATCCCAGCAGACTTGGCTATGATCCAGGATGATCTGAGGAGCATATCAGCCAGGCTTGGATCAGTGGAAAGTACCTCCAGCAACCACAGATGCCAGATAACTGAGCTCCAGACTGCAGTTCAAGAACTGCGACAACAAAATCTGCTCCACGAACAACAACTTGCCACACCGGAGGACAAACGCCGCCAAAATAACCTGAAAATCAGAGGCGTAGCTGACTCTGTTCCAGAGGCCGAGCTCCCACATTGTACCAGACGGCTACTTACTGCATTACTGACCCCAAAGGCAGCCAGAGCGATTGCACTGGACGGAATTGTAACGGAGCACCTTGTACTCCGACCGAGTACCCTCCGTTGATGGATGCTCCTAGCGCTTCCTGAGGACTCCAAACACTGCAGCAGACACCACAACCACCGTAGCTTGACTGGAGTCTCGCCATCTTCCTTCTACCCTGGATCAGCTTCTGTCCTCCAGGACTGTGTGGGAAAGAACTCTTCCTTCCACCCTGTATGAACCTCCAGCATCCAGGACTGTGTGGTGAAGACCCCTCCTCCAAGGAGAGCGTGTCAGGAACAAGCTCTTAAAAGAGCTAAGTGACTCAAGCTCAGGAGCATGCAGAGCATAGCAATCCCCAGTGTGATTATAACAGCTCCCTCCAATAACGAGACAAGGCTACGTTTAGAGGGATCAAGAAGAACTGTCAAAACCTTTATTTCCCTTGGGACCAGCCAATAGGGTCACCACAATAACATTGTTGTGAAACCTCAATAAAATCACAAACAGTCAAACCATATCAAGCAACACACAGTGACTTATCACAACACAATGGCACATTTTTAAAGGGGTGGGGGGAGACAATATTTAACAGTAAATATCTCACCTGCCTGCAGAATTAGCAATATGCAAATCTACCCGAATATGCAAATGAACCAGTCTTGCAATTCAGGTAGTGCATGTTGCTATTGCTACCAACAGAGGGCACTAGACAAGCTCCATAGCCAAACCCACCTAGTTGGTAGCAAACCTCAGCAACACAAGAGAGCAGGCAATACATCACACAGTACACACACACACACTATAAACAATTACATTACACACACCCTGCACCTATAATGGGTACAGGGTGACTAAAACATAAGATAAATAAAGCAGCCTACATAAATAGTCTGTCTGAAGGTAGACTAGGGGCTTTACAGCCAGATACATGAAAGAGTCATAGTCACAGGAGAGGAGGCTGGCAAGTAGGCCTCTCCAGGACCAAGTGGCGAAGGGCACTTCGTCACAGGAATATTCCGCATACTGCGACCAGCTAAAGCACCATCCAATGCACCTGGAGACAGAGTGATCCGGTTCCAATCCATGAAAGACAAGTCCACAGTCTTGGAAGCGACCAGAGGACAGCCAACGTACCCCTTCGAAGAGATGGCCTTGTCCTTTTACTCCAGCTCGGGCGGGACGTTAGTTTGGAGAAGGTCCATGCGACAATTCAAAACTTTCCTGCGACTACACCAACTCAAGTACCGATGGTGACCTAGCTGCACCTTATAGATCATTAAAGGAGACACTACAAAGGTCATCTATGAGATGCAAGAGGCCAAGAGGGCTCTGGGAGAGCTAGCCTTCCCCCTGAACTCACTCGATCCAGCGGAGCCATCAACAGGGCCCAACTGCTCCTTCGGGAGAGACGCAGCCAGCACCCCAGAATTTGTGCCACGACGGCCTCCCACAGAACCCTATGCAGTAGCCACGACTTAAACCAGGACTATACTCCATGGCTTACTCATTGGGACGCCCTCCATGTACATATGAATGCCAAATTGAAAACTGCTCAACGTAGTGACTTTACCTTTTATTTCTATTTTACTTTTCTTACTGTTATTTTATTACGCATATTTATCCCACGCTATGCCATCTCGACCCAGACCAGGTCAATGACACAAAGGGAAGGGCCTAGGCCCAGATCTACCCGACATCAGCACTCCGGCTTAACCCACATAGGGGCTCAGGGGACCCTCTCTTGATGTCCCTCCTTGCGGAAGTATCCGCTAAGCCCAGAATATCTGTACTCTCCCTTACGACTTAGGCACTGACAACTGTAGTTATTTTCAGTAAGCGTGCACACCATGCCCGTTTTAATTGTTAACCTACTTGTAAGTACCACAGGTTACACTCAACTGTTTTTTATGCATTACGAGCTTGGGACAACTGCAGTTCTGTTTAGTGAGCGACTCACAGGCGAATAAACACCTACCTACTTACACTCTTAGCAAATAACCGAACCTCGGACATGCCCAATTTAACAGGATATTTACATGCTACCAACCTAGACGACTAGAAAGTCTCGCAAATACTCCTACCTTCATCTCATGGACCCTACTCACCTAAGACGCATGACCCCAGCCTGACTGTACCCAAATATAAAACTGGTGCTGCGATCTCACAATGCCACATACATGTTCAACTGTTATTCTTGTTCAGCCTGTCTCTGCTGTTGGGGCATTGCAGGCTCGTTGTAATCCTCTCTATGCACTATAAAAATAAAGAATGAAAAAGAAAAAAAAAGAAAAGCTACGGTAGCTCAAATTGCTGAAAAATTAAATGCTAGCAATGATAAAAAGCAGTCAGAATACACAGTGCATTGCATTGCAGTTTGGTTCGTAGCCGCAAACCAGTCAGAGTGCACATGATGACCACTGTCCATTGTTGAAAGAGACTTTAATGCGGACATGAGCGTCTGAACTGGACCATGGACCAATTGAAGAAGGTCACCTGGTCTGATTAATTAAATTTTTTAGATCAGATGCGTGTGAGTAGTGGATAGCAGCAGGACGCACTATGGGAAGAATGCAGGTCAGCAGAGGCAAAGTTATGCTGGGAAACCTTGGGACCTTTGTTACTTTGACATGTACCAACTACCTACAGACCACCCCTTAATGGCAATGGTCCTCCCTGATGGCAGTGGCCTCTTTCAGCAGGATAATAGACCCTGCCACACTGCAAAAAATTGTTCAGGAATGATTTGAGGAACATGACAAAGAGTACATGTTGTTGTCTTGGCATTCAAATTCCCCAGATCTCAATCTGATTGAGCATCTGTGGGATGTAATGGGATGACAAATCCGATCCATGCAGGTCCCATCTTGCAACTTGCAGGATTTAAAGGATCTGCTGCTACTGTTTTGGTGGCAGATACCACAGGACAAGTTCAGAGGTCTTGTGAAGTCCATGCCTCAATGCATCAGAGCTGCTTTGGTATTACGAGTTGGACCTACACCATGTGGTTTTAATGTTGCATCTAATCAGTATATACACACCCTCACCATACAATTCTTCAGCACATGGGTCAATGCCAATGGCACAGCATATATATCAGTACCACCCTTCTCATGTTCTGGTCATTAGGCAAGACAATTTTTTGGGGGGTCCCTCACTCATCTTTACAGGACCCCTAGACATTATTGCTGTGCAAATATACACAGATGTGAGAACACAGCTGATTATGATCTAAGTGGCTTTGTTGGATTGAATAAAAACATTTCTTTCCTTTCACTAACATGTAAAGGGTGAACTAAACATTTTCCTTTACTTTACCTATTACAAATATTGTTTCAGTTCAAATAATGATATAGTTCTCACAGCTGTGCTAAAGGAAACTCACAGAGGTAGTTTTCATATATTTTTCCATAACAAAAGTACTAACCAAATAAATCTAGACACCTATTGGAAGGGACAAATATTTCCTGTGGCAGTCATTTCATAACCTCCTCAAACAGCATTTAGATATATTATTCCAGCTGTAAAATTTGATAAAGTTTTTACCTTTACACAGCTTGCAAAATGTTGTGACAAAATACAAACTGATAGCTGCCTTTAGTTTAGAACACCAGATGTTACCTACAGCTTTGCTAAATAGCACAGGAAATGAAGTTCACGAAGGCACTTAGGGTGCAATGGTTAGCCAGTACAAATCTATCATTTTTTTTGGCAGTGGTGCTGGCCCAGGCTTGGCAATTTGAGGCTAATACAGTGCAGTAACGTATCTCCAGCAGTGGATTGCATATCAAGGTTTGGTTTGCGAAGTATGATGGGTACTTTGCAAGATACCAAACTCATGAACCAGGCAATGGGGGTTTAAGTCACTTTGCAATAAGCAGTATAACTTCTAAATTCAATGCATCCTATGGCCTACTTTCACATTCCGATTCTGGCACACAGAGAACTTCAGGGGTTATAGCAACCTGCATGGAGGCACAGCTATCATACAGCTTTTAGTGGGACCAGGGACAGGAAACCTAGAGAATTCAGAGTTTTACATCACACTGTCGGGGTTATTCACTAAAGTAAGAACTCAAAGTGAATTTCAAGGAAGGAAGGTGTGGGATTTTTTTAGTTTCAAAATCATTTAATTGCAGGCTCTATATAAAAGAAAAAAAATGTATGTATGCAACATCAGGCAATCCACGGTAACAAAAAAAAAATAATATATATATATACACACACACACATTGAAAAATTAGAATATCTTGTAAAAGTTAATTTATTTCACTAATGCAACGTAAAAGGGAAAACTAAAATATGAGATAGACGCATTACATGTATAGCAAGATAGTTCAAACCGTGATTTGTCATAAGTGCGATGATTATGGCTTACAGCTCATGAAAACCCCAAATCCACAATCTCAGTAAATTAGAATATTACATGCAATCATTAAAACAAGGAGTGTACATAGAACAATATAAGACCCCTGAAAAGTATAAACATGCATATGGACTCAGTACTTGGTTTAGGCCCCTTTTGCAGCAATTGATGCCTCAATGCGCCGTGGCATAGAAGCTATCAGCCTTTGGCACTGCTGAGGTGTTATGGAAGACCAGGATGCCTGTAAATATAGTAGATTTTCTGTACTTTGGTGTTTTTTCACTGCACATTGAGGTGGAATGATGGGCAAGATAAAGAACTAAATAAGCAAGTTAGTGGTGTTGTGGAGACAGGCTCAGGCACCGAGGGTAGTGGTGTTGTGGAGACCGGCTTTGAGACTATGGTGAGGCCTAATAGAAAGCAGTTGTTGTTGGGGGATTCTATCATAAGAGATGTGGAGCTGGACAATAGAGGTCTTGTGAGATGTCTTCCCAGAGCTACTGCTCACAGAGACAGGAGACGTATTTGGAATATTGTTAAGCAAGCAGAGCAGGAAGGGGAATTGGATGTACTTGTCTATCAAGGGACAAATTACTTGGCTTGCAATGAGGTTTCAGAGGTTAAGGAAGTTTTGTAGTGTTTTTGCCAATGATATACGGCAGGTTGCGTCCACACTGTCGTTTTCTGAAGTTCTGTCTGTGCATAACACTCAGAACGACAGGCGGATGCGTATTAGGGACTTGAACTTGTGGCTTGGTGAATGGTGTCGGGAGCAAGGATTTGACTTAATTTCTCATGGAATGTAAATAAACTGTGCAAAAAAGATGGTTTGCATCTTTCTCAAAAGGGAACAAACGTGCTCAGTGAGCAGTTCAGAGGTTTTGCTAGTAGGTATTTAAACTAGGAAGGGGGCACAGGGGTGATAAAACATGAATCCAATAGCCCCCAAAACTAGGACAGAAGGTGCCTGTAGCAAGTGTGTTAAAAAGCATAAGCTTAGAGTCATGTCTACAAATGCTCGCAGTTTAGGGAATAAGATCCATGAACTTGTGGCAATAATGGCAACTGATAATGTAGATTTAGTATTTGTTACTGAGATATGGTATAATGAGAAAAATGACTGGGACATAGCAATACCAGGGTACTCTTTATATAGAAAAGTAAGGGAAGGCAAGAAAGGAGAAGGGGTGGCCCTGTATGTGAAGGATAGCATAAAATCTAGCCTAATAAAAGTTAGTGAGGAGAACATCATATGTTTTGGGTTACGTTAGAATTTGGTAATTACACAGTAACTTGTGTAGGTGTGATTTATAGGCCTCCAGGACAAATTGAAGAGTTAGATAATCTACTAGTTGAGGAAATAGCTAAAATGACAATGAAGGGGGAAGTTATCATCATGGGTGACTTTAATCTTACTGATGTGAACTGGAAAACCAAAATAGCTGCTTGTGCTAGAAGCACACATATTCTAAACTCCCTTCTGGGATTGTCTCTAAAACAAGTCATTGAGGAGCCAACTCATAAAGAAGCCATACTAGATTTAGTGTTAACACATGGATATTTGGTATCGGATATTACTGTAGGTCAGTGGTTCCTAACGCAGTCCTCAAGCACCCTCTACAAGTCCAGGATTTAGGGATTACCCAGTTGTGTCTGAAGTGTTTTTAGAAAGAAAAAACACTTTAGACACAATAGAGTAATCCCTAAACCCTGGTCTGGTAGAGGGTACTTGAGGACTGGGTTGGAAACCCCGGCAGTAGTTGAAAGTTTAGGATCCAGTGATCATCAGACAGTGTGGTTTAATATAAGAACAGTGACTGAGTCACACCACACAAAAACAAAAGTTTTAGACTTTAGAATAACAGACTTTTCTAAAATAGGAATATGTGTAAAGGAGTCATGATCAGACTGGAGCAATTTAAATGGAATCCAAGAGAAATGGGATTATTTAAAAGTTGCACTGCTGAAGGCAACAGATAAAAGCAAAAAATGTAAGAAACCACTGTAGTATTCCACGGATGTGGACAAAATAGTAAAAAACTAATAGTTAGCATTTAGTAATTAAAAAAAAAAAAAAGTGAGGAAGATAGACAGAAAGAGGCTAAACAAGTTATAAGAGCTTCCAAATCACACACACACACACAAGAGAAAATAGCACAGTCAGTATAAAACGGGGACAAAACTTTTTTAGATACATAAATCAAAAAAGGAAAGTAAAACAAGGATTAGTAAGATTAAAAACAAAAGAAGGAAGGTATGTAAAAGAGGATAAAGGTCTAGCTGACTGCCTCAATGAATACTTTTGTTCAGTATTTACAGATGAAAATGAAGGAAAGGGGCCTCAGTTAGGAAAAAGGACAAATTAGTAATTTGTTACATTTAAATTTACAGAGGAAGAGGTTCTATTTCAACTGTCAAAAGTAAAGACAAATAAGTCAATGGGACCTGATGGAATACACCCAAAGTTATTAAAAGAGCTTAGTGGTGTACTAACAAAACCATTAACTGATTTATTTAACCAATCATTGTTAACAGGAGTAGTCCCAGAAGATTGGAAGTTAGAGAATGTTGTGCCCATTTACAAGAAAGGTAATAGGGAGGAGTCGGGCAACTATAGGCCAGTAAGCCTTACTTCAGTAGTGGGGAAAGTGATGGAAACCATGTTAAAGGATAGGATTGATGAACATCTAAAAACACATGGATTTCAAGATCAGAGACAACATGGGTTTACTTCAGGGAGAACTTGCCAAACTAATCCTATTGATTGTTTTGATTGGGTAATTAAAATAATAGATCAGGGTGGTGCAGTAGACATTGCATTATTATTGATATTGCAGAAGTTCTTGATGGTAAAGTATGTCTTTTTGCTGATGATACTAAGATATGTAACAGGGTTGATGTTCCAGGAGGGATAAGCCAAATGGCAAATGATTTAGGTAAACTAGAAAAATGGTCAGAGTTGTGGCAGCTGACATTTAATGTGGATAAGTGCAAGATAATGCATCTTGGACGTTAAACCCCAAAGGCAGAGTACAGAATATTTGATAGAGTCCTAACCTCAACATCTGAAGAAATGGATTTAGGGGTAATTATTTATGATGACTTAAAGGTAGGCAGACAATGTATTCGATCAGCAGGAAATGCTAGCAGAATGCTTGGTTGTATAGGGAGAGGTATTAGCAGTAGAAAGAGGGAAATGCTCATGCCACTGTACAGAACACTGGTGAGACGTCAATTGAAGTATATTTATATTTTAGAGAGAGTTCAGAGAAGGGCTACTAAACTGGTTCATGGATTGCAGGATAAAATTTACAAGAAAAGGGTAAAGGATCTTAATTTGTATAGCTGTTAAGGAACGATGAGACTGGACATATGATAGAAAGATTTAAATACATAAAGGGAATCAACACCGTAAAGGAGGAGACTTTTTTTTTTTTTAAATATAAACTACCATAACAAGAGGACAGTCTTAAATTAGAGGGGCAAAGGTTTACAAATAATATCAGGAAATATTACTTTACTGAGAGGGTAGTGGATGCATGGAATAGCCTTCCAGCTGAAGTGGTAGAGGTTAACACAGTAAAGGAGTTTAAGCATGCATGGGATAGGCATAAGTCTATCCTAACTATAAGATAAGGCTAGGGATTAATGAAAGTGTTTAGAAAATTGGGCAGACTAGATGGGCCGAATGGTTCTTATCTGCCGTCACATTCTATGTTTCTAGTGAAAAAAACATAATTTTTTTCCCCATCTGCTGTGACCTAAATTCATAAACAAACTATGGTAGTGGTACTAGGAGACTAGTTGTGTAGTTTCTGCAAATTGTTTTTGAAACCATGTCAAATAGTTTGACCCCCCCCCCCAACAAAAATTCAAAAAACATGAGACTCCCTGGCACCCTTAACACCCCAATTCAGCTGGAGGTATTGAAATAAGGAAATGTATTTTCTTACTACCTAAATAAAATATTTTAATGACAAGCATATGCATTTTGCCATTCAATGGTAAGATGTGAGTGCTGCACTGGGCCAAATCACTGCAGCCTTTTGGCTCCAATGACTTGCCATTATCCCCTTTGAACAATAGCAATCTGGTTTATGATGCTGCTTACCATTTCCGTGTATCTAAACAAGTGAGGATTTTATTAAAGGACACGGAGGCTCTTATTATGCTTTACTCTTTCCTTTTATTCCTCAGCAGCAAAAGAAAATATTGTGTATATATATTCAATGCAAAAAGAAAACACTTCAATAACATTACATCATAACTTTGCAAGGGTTAACCATATACCACATATGAACCAATCAGAGTGTCCCTATTACAATAAAGTCCCATGTGACCCTAAGCCACTCCTCTTTCTTTTGCTGCTGCATCCTCAGCTAAGTACCATATTTTTCTCCCTCTGTGTTGCATGCCAGTTAAGATTGTATTTATTGTTCTTTTTCAGCCCTCTCCCTTTATTTTCATCAGTTTGTGTTCCCTTTGACTCTATCCTCTGTCTCCCTGCATCTCACTCCCTTCCCCCTCCCCCCTCCGGTCGGTTTGTTTATTTCCCGACCGTCTTCCCCTTTCCCTCCACTACCAGGGCTTCCCCCCGCTCAGGTACCTCTGTCTTTTCACGGTCCCAGCGGACCGCCGTTTTACCGCGGCTCGGGCCGCCCGCGCATGCGCACACCGTGAGTGCGCATCGCGGCGGCCATCTTGGGATTGGCAGTTTTGCCGCGCTTTTTCTAGCGCGGCCAATACTGCTCGTTTGGGGGCGGGAGTTAGTGCTCTGTTGCTGGGCAAGTCTCCCGGTGCTCCCCAGGAGCTTATTCCTGAGGGAACACTCGGTGAGCTTGCTACAGTTTTGTTTAGTCTGTGCCTGTTTGCATTGTTCATATTTCAATTGGTGCCTTTTGTGCCTGCTAGTTGCTTTAGGGCTACTGTTTCTTTGCATATAACTCCCTGCTGGGCTGCTCAATTATATAAACAGTGTTTCTGCCTGTCCTGCTGCCCCCTTTTTGTTTTTTCTTTCATCCCTAAGCATGCAGGCTGATAACATGGCTGATGGAGCCACCAAACCTAGGGCCACCATACCCACATCAACCCCGCTAGGGCCCAAAATTCCCACTGTAATTCAAACAGCGCAGGAGCAAATGGACTCTGAGGAGTTTCATTCTCTCCTAGACGCGGCTATGGCGAAGTCTGTGACGCAGGCTATATTTACCGCCATGGGTGCCATGTCGGATAACTTATCCCATTCAATAGCCACTGCAATGAGATCCACGCAGTTGCCACCAAACCCTATGGCTAACCCCCCAGAAACTGAACCGGTGGCCCCTAGTGGGCGTAAAGCCGCTAAAAAATCTCGCCATTTAGACGAGTATGCCTCCGCAACTCTACAGACGGACAGGGCACGTCCTGTCACAGAACCTGTGGTTGGACCACAACTAAGAGCCCCCCGCCGGGCAAAATCGGTGAGGAAATGGAAGAGGGCTAAGGCCCTAATTGAATCCTCCGACTCTGAATCGGAGCAAGAGGAGGCACAGAGCGAGTCCGAGGAGGAGGACTCTGATGATTCCGATAACCAAGTGCGGGACTATGACTCCGTCACGTGCACGGACATGGACCGCAAGGACGGAGCTGGCAACTCCGCCTTAGTTGACCCCCAGGGTGAACCATTGTTCGACCCGGACACCCTCCAACACCCGAGGTCCTCCGAGTGGTACCCTCTGGACCACGTAGCAAAATATATCGCTGCCCGCATCAGAAAGCCACTGGATAAGGTGGCGCGAAACAAGCTGCGGGCAGAATGCTCACGCCCCACGGTCCCGGATATGGCATGTGCCACCCCAGAAGTGGACCCAAAAATCGCCCAGTTTTTGGGAAAATCAGGCTGGAAGGCCAAGAGGGGCCTAGATTTTGCCTGGCGGAACTGCCAGGATAAAGTGTTGGACATCCTCGGACCAATCGCGAGGATGTTTGATATGGTTGAAATCGCGTTGGCAGGGGGTGCACCGCTGGACCTGGAAGCCCTCAGAGGGTGGATCCAGCGTGCCGTGTGTCTCCTGGGCAACGCTAATACGGCAGTGGCCACGGAAAGACGCAAAGCGATCTTAATCAAAATTGAGCCTAAGCTGGTAAACCTAGCTATCTCAGAGCCGGGTCCCCAGGCTGAAGCCCTCCTATTCGGGGATAACTTCGTAAAAGAGCTAGGCACATATGTAGGCACCTTTACGGCACTGGATAAGGCTCAAGCCAGCATGAAGCGAGTGTTCCATCAGAAGGTTTTTGGCGGGGCCGGCAGATATCGGGGCCGTCTGCCCGGCCGCTCGCCCCGGGGCTCATACCGGGGCTCTCGTGGCTCCGCACAATCCAGATTCACACCCCCGGAACCCAAACAAGCCTCACCGTTCTTTCCAGTCCGAGGCAGACCATGGCAGACCCGAGGACCCAGAGGCTCTTCATATGGCCGACGTCCTTATGGTAAGTGCACTACCTCCTCATATGTCTGCATTAACTATGGTGGGGGGCAGACTGGGCCATTTTGTCAAAGCATGGCACATGATCACGGCGGATGCCTGGGTGCTCCACACTGTACGGGGTTACTCTATAGAGTTTGTGCAATACCCTGTCCAACTGAAGCCCCCCAGCCGAATGGTGGTCCCCATGCGGGACCGAGAGTTGATAACCCAAGAGGTCCAGGCCTTAGCCTCCAAGGGGGCGATTTATACAATTCCCCCTGTCACACCAGGTTTCCTGAGCAACCTATTCTTAGTACCCAAAAAAGGCGGAGGTGTTCGCCCAGTCATCAACTTGAGGCCTTTAAACATGTTTGTCGCATACCACCACTTCAAGATGGAAGGTATACACTCTCCCCGGGACCTCCTCCTCACGGGGGACTGGATGGTCAAACTCGACTTGAAGGACGCATACCTCACGGTCCCAATGGCCGACGACTGCCAACGCTTCCTGCAATTCCGCTGGGAAGAGACCATGTGGCGTTTCAAGTGCCTACCGTTCGGTCTCTCATCGGCCCCCTGGTGCTTCACAAAGCTCATGAAACCAGTGGTCGCCCTCCTACGCAGCAGAGGAGTACGGCTCATAATATACCTGGACGATATCCTCATCATGGCGCAAGACCCGCTTCTGTTGCACGAACATTTCTCTTGGACGAGGAATTTGTTAGAAAACCTGGGTTTTCTGATCAACTGGGAGAAGTCGGTCATCGAACCCTCGCAGGCAATAGAATTCCTGGGATTCACCATAGACACAGTGACCGGAATGCTCCTACTCCCAACAACCAAGGTCAAGGCCATCAAAAAGGAGCTCAAGCGGACGCTAACACGGCCTGTCCTTACCTTGAGACAGCTGGCCAGGATTGTGGGCCTCCTCTCGGCGTCCATTCAGGCCATCTTTCCCGGACCCCTACACTACAGGGCACTTCAACGATTAAAGGCAAAATACCTTCGTTTGGGGCACTCATACTCAGATTCTGTTCCTCTCGACTGTGCCGCCAAAGACGAAATCAAATGGTGGCTACAACACATGGAAGCGTGGAATGGCCGCGCGATCTTTGGAACAGCTCCGGACCTCATAGTGGAATCCGATGCAAGCTTGCTCGGTTGGGGTGCGCGCTGCGGACCTTTCTCCACTGGAGGAAGATGGTCTCGGGAGGAACAGGGACTTCATATCAATTGCCTCGAACTGTTGGCAGGTTCGTTCGCTTTACGGAGTCTTTTGAACGTGTCGACCAACTGTTCCATCCTGTTACGCATGGACAACGTTTCAGCGGTCCGTTATATCAACCACCTCGGGGGCACGAGGTCAGCAATACTTGCGGAATTAGCAAAGGATTTCTGGCAGTTCTGCCTGGATCGAAACATATCGGTGCAAGCGGAACACATCCCGGGGATAAGCAATGTAGTAGCAGACTGGAACTCCAGACATCTACGAGATGCCAGCGACTGGCGACTGAACCCGGCCACCTTCAGCCAATTGCAATCACTGTGGGGACCACTGGACATCGACCTGTTCGCGTCACGACTAAACACGCAATTACCGAGGTTTTTCAGTTGGAGGCCAGATCCAGAGGCTCTAGCGACGGACGCTTTCCGACAACAGTGGCCGAATGCCAGACATTACGCTTTTCCCCCCTTTTCCCTCATCGCACGGACCTTGCTGCACCTCAGACGACACCGCACGTCTCTAATCCTCGTGTCTCCGTTTTGGACGTCTCAACCCTGGTTCCCTACACTCCTGGAACTGTCAATAGATCTGCCGAGGTTACTACCAGTACACGACAACATTCTCCTGGATCCCTATGGCAATCCACATCCTCTCATACTGCAGGGACACCTCAAGCTTTTGGCATGGCTCCTCTCAGGGGACTCGGTGACATCCCAAATGTTCCACAAACAACTCTGGACCTCCTGGCAGGAGCTTGGGCCCCAGGTACAAGGAAATCGTATTTACATGCCTGGAACACATGGCATGGTTGGTGCGTGGAACAACATGTGGATCCCATATCTGCAACTGTGAGTCAAGTCTTGGGTTTCCTCACTTCACTTTTCGACCACGGCCTGGCGTATCGTACAATTAATCTATATAGGTCAGCTATCTCAGCAGGCCACGTAGGTTGGAATGGAATTCAAACTGGAAAACATCCGATGATATGCCGGCTCTTACGGGGCATAAAATTTGCACGACCACCACGGCCTAGGTATTCTGAGGTATGGGATGTGAACCTTGTTCTCCGACTTTTTGAAAGTTGGCCAAGGAACGAAGATTTGTCGATCAAGCAACTCACCGCAAAATTGGTTACGTTGTTCTGTCTCATCTCATGTAAACGGGTTTCAGACGTACGAGCATTGGACATTCAGGCACGCTCATATACACCAGAAGGGGTGGCCTTTGATATATCGAGACGTACAAAAACATCCATCACAAAGGTTTTTTACCCTGCATTTCCACATAACAGTAAATTATGCCCAGTAGCCTGCCTCAAGGAGTATGAAGCAAGGACGGTGGCGGTCCGAGATCCGCAATGTGCGGACCTCTTCCTGGCTATTCGACAACCGCATCGTCCGGTTTCTACAGTCACCATCTCTCGTTGGGTCAAATGGATCATGACGTCGGCAGGCATTGATATTTCCACATACGGAGCACATTCAGTGAGGGGTGCGATGGCATCCAAAGCCTTTTCATTAGGCTGTAAATTGGAAGATCTCCTCCGAGCAGCCGATTGGTCGAGAGAATCTACTTTCCGGGAATTTTATTTCCGTCCGGTTTCCCATTTTTCCACGTCAGTGATCACACAGCTTTGAACTAGCATAATAAGAGCCTCCGTGTCCTTTAATAAAATTACCAGATTTTACTAATTTCATGACGTAAAGTCATGATTTTATAAAGGACACGGAGGCGAGTATTATCCCACCCAATAAAGGTAAGTTGCCCTCCTCTGGGAATGTAAGGTATGTTATGGGACTTGAACTGTGTGATAATGTGTTATTTTAGTTTATTTTTTCGTTTGAGTGAATAACATGAGAAT